CTTTTGATTCTATTGAGGTTTGTTTTGTGTCCTAGGATATGATCAATTTTGGAGAATGTTCCATAGGGCAATGAGAAGAAAGTATATTTTTTATCTTTGGGATGGAGTGTTCTATATGCATCTATCAAGCACAGTTGTCCTAAGGTCTCATTTAAGTCCCTTATATCTTAGTTTAATTTATGTTTAGCACAGGTGTCCTCAAACTATGGCCCACAGGCCACATTCAGCCTGCCGGGTGTTTTTGCTTCCGCTGCCTGTCTTGCTTAGCAGCCGACTTGTCCTGGGGCCCTGTTTAAAAAGTTTGAGGACCTCTGGTTTAGAAGATCTGTCCAGCTCTGTACGAGGAGTGTTAGAGTCCCCTGTTATTATGGTATTATAGGAAATCATATTGCTCAGACTGAGCAATATGTCTGTTTCAAGAATCTGGGAGCATTTAAATTGGGTGCATAAATATTTAGAATTGAAACATCTTCTTGTTGTATTTTTCCCTTGACCAATATAAAGTGACCATCTTTGTCTTTTTTGACTTTAGTTGCTTAAAATGCACATGTATCTGAAAATAAGATTGTACCTCCTCTTTTCTTCTGAATTCCATTTGCCTGAAAAATTGTCTTTCAACCCTTAACTCGGAGTTTTAATTTGTCTTTTGAAGCTAGGTATGTTTCCTGCAGACAACAAATGGATGGCTTGTGTTTTTTAATCCAGTCAGCCAATCTATGCCTCTTCAGTGGGGCATTCAAAGCCATTGACATTTATTGAGATAATTGATAAGTGTGGTAGTGTTCTATTCATCTTATTTTGTGAGAGTCCATTGCTTAGTTTTATCTTTTGCATCATTGTGGAAGTTAGATTCTGTCCTTTAATTTCTGAGTTCTTACTTTGCTGTTGGTCCATTGTGATGGTCAGTGCTTAGAACAGGTTGAAGTATTTCCTGTAGAGCTGATCTTGTTATGGTGAATTTCCTCAATGTTTGTATATCAGTAAATGATTTGATTTCTCTGTCAATTTTAAACCTTAACTTAGCAGGATATAGAATTCTGGGCTGGAAATTGTTCTGTTTAAGTAGATTAAAGGTAGATGACCATTGTCTTCTTGCTTGGAAAGTTTCATTAGAGAAGTCAGCAGTCACCCTGATGGATTTGCCCCTGTAAGTCAATTGGTGCTTACTCCTGGCAGCTTGAAGAATCTGTTCTTTTGTCTTGACTGCGGAAAGGTTCATGACAACCTTTATTTGAGGTAGCCTAGGGTCCAATATCCCTCTGAAAGAAGTGTGTCAGAATCTTTGGTGATGTTTGGGAAATTTTCATTTATAATATTCTCTAGGTTGACTTCCATTCCTCTGGGGCATTCTTCTTCCCATTCTGGGATACCTATAACATGTATGTTTGAATGCTTTATAAAATCCCATAATTCTGTCAGTGAATATTCTGCCTTCTGTCTCTTCTTTTCTGCCTCTTTAACTATCTGAGTTATCTCAAGAGCTTTGTCCTCTACCTCTGAGGTTCTTTCTTCTGCATGGTCTCATCTGTTGTTGATACTTTCTATTGCATCTTTAAGTTTCCTAATTGACTGCTTCAGTTCCTTCGGCTCTGCTATATGCTTTCTCTATTCTTCATGTTGTTCATCTCTTATTTGATTCTGTTTTTGGATTTCCTTTTGGTTATTTTCCACTTTATCATCAGTTTCCTTCATTGTTTCCATCATTTCCTTCATTGTTTTCATCATCTGTATTCTAAATTCCCTTTCTGTCATTTCTAACATTTCTTTATAGGTGGAATCCTCTGCAGTAGCTACCTCATGGTCCCTTGGGGAGGTTGCTCTGGACTGGTTTTTCATGTTGCCAGGATTTTTCTGCTGGTTCTTCCTCACGAGTGATTTATTTATTTATTTATTTATTTGCAGTTTTTGGCTGGGGCTGGGTTAGAACCCACCACCTCCAGCATATGGGGCCTGTGCCCTACTCCTTGAGCCACAGGCGCTGCCTGCGAGTGATTTCTTTTATCTGTTTCCTTGTCCTAATTTTCTTTTCACTTCCTCTTGCTCTTTAAGTTCCTGTGCCTCTGGACTAGGGTTTTGATGAGTCCTTTTGGTACAGAACCAGAAGGATGAGAAGATTGAAGAGGAAGAAGGGAAAAAAGAAAAAAAAAAGAGAAAGGAGAGGAGGTGGATAAAAGGGAATATTGACAAAAAGAAGAGAGGCACAGAAAGAGGAAGATAGGAGCAATGTAGGTGTACAGTAGTGTGCTTTGACCTGACCTTAAAAACCTTCAACTTCTGGCTCGGTGCCTGTGGCTCAAGTGGCTAAGGCACCAGACATATACATCTAAGGTGGTGGGTTCGAATCCAGCCTGGGCCCGCCAAAACAACAATGATGGCTGCAACCAAAAAATAGCTGGGCATTGTGGCGGGTGCCTGTGGTCCCAGCTACTTGGGAGGCTGAGGCAGGAGACTTGCTTGAGCCCAGGAGTTGGAAGTTGCTGTGAGCTGTGATGCCACGGCACTCTACCCAGGGGGAAAGCTTGAGGCTCTATCTCAAAAAAAAAAAAAAAAACCCTTCAACTTCTGGGCGTACAGGGTTGGGTTGTTTCCTTGAGGTCACCAGCTCTTTGCTAGCCTGTTCGGACACAGTACCCCACCTCCACCAAGTAGAGAGGAAAGACAAAAATGCTATAAATCAAACAAAAACAAGCAAACAGAAAACTTTACGGGATAAAATTGGGGGGAAAAAACAAATAATAAGGGTAGAAACACTAGCAAAAGTGAGGTTCTAATTGTTCTCCCATCCAAGTACTAACTAAGCCTGACCCTGCTTAGCTTCTGAGATCAGATGAGATTGGGCGCGTTCTGGGTGGTATGGCCATTGACTGAAGTTCTAATTGTTAAGAAAAAGGCAACAGTGGAAAATTATATTTAAGCTAGAAAAATGAAAAAAAGAAAGAAAAAAAGAAAAAAATCTATAGAGAGAATGTTGAAATTAAAGAACAAAAATAAGAAAAAAACAAAAAACAAAGCAGTATAAATATCTTGCTGAATATTGTCTGGGCAACAGGTGATCTTCTGGGGTATGAGATGTTAATCACAAGGCTGATAACGGCCTTACAAGATGCAGACTGGCAAATCCTCTGATGATTTCTCAAACTCTGCAGGGTGGAGAGCCTGTCTCTCCTCAGCCCATTTAAAAAGCACTTGAAAGTGCCAAGGAGAAGCTTTCCCAGGAAAGCAGTCATCTCTGGGATCATTCCTGAAGTGGCTTATCCAGTTACCCAGTGTGCCAAAACCTGTCTCACTCTTTGCCCGAGGGCCAAGGCTGTAAGGCGTCTCAGTCCCCGCCTTTAGGCTGCTCAGCCACTAGATTATGCTCCTGCCCATCCTTGCTCTGTGACCCTGATGGTGGAGCTTGATGGGGCAGTTCTTCCACAATGGCTCTGGGTGGCCCACAGCTGAACCCTATTAACTCCGTCTGGCTCAGTGGCTCAGTCTGGGGCCCTAGATGATGCTTAAAGTCCTCCGCACTCTTGCCCAAGTTCTCCCAAGGTAGTTCAACTGAGTGCCAAGTCCAAAAGAAACCAAAACAGCTCACAGGTAAGGCCTATCCAGTTTGCAATCTCACTGCTGCTGTACTTACAGCTGCCAGTGGGATTAGACCAAACAAACACACGCAACTACTTGCCAGTTCTTCACTGCTTTTGTCTTCCTTATGGGGTCCAAAAGTCTCTCGCTGACTCCCTGTGTCCCAAAAGGGATGTTTCTGGCCAGATCCCACCAGCCAGAGATACCTGGAGTCTTCTCTCCCCATACTCAGCATGCCCAGTTGCAAGGAAGCCATTATTTAGCCGTGATCTTGCTCCTTCCCACTTTAAAAATTTTTTTTAAGAGCCAGAGTCTCACTTTGTCACAGCTCACAGCAACCTCCAGCTCTTGGGCTTAGGCAATTCTCTTGCCTCAGCCTCCCGAGTAGTTGGGACTATGGGCACCTGCCACAATGCCTGGCTATTTTTTGTTGTGGTGTATGGGGCTGGCACCCTACCCACTGAGTCACAGGTGCTGCCTGGCCTCTGAGATTTTGAAGTCTGGTTTGAGGCAGGGTTTTCAACAGGTTAGGGTTGGGTAAGATCCTGATATAATACTCCTGGATTGGTGGACATAGCAAAGTGAGGATTTTGAGGTGAAAGATCCAAAGACTCATGGGATATAAACTGCCATTTGATGCTTTCTGTTGAAGAGTTGATGGGTCTTTCAAGAATGAACGATAAGGTTATTTGTACATATATACAAAGCATTCAGGAGTGGTAAAAGTTAGATGGAGGCAGATGGAGGAATAAAAAAGTCACATTAATGTTGACGGTAAGCTCCATATCTCAGCAGTCCAGCATTTGTCTTTCCTGTACAAACCTCTTCCCCTCACTCCAGTGAAGGTGGCCTTGGAAAGGATGAGGCTCTGTGTCAGGGGAGTAGGCTTGGTGTTTCTTGGGAATGGGGAAGGCTGGCAGATCTGGGCTGGGTGGGGTTAGCTCCTTCTACTTAGCAGAGAGGGATGTTTTGACTGCACCCAGGGTTTCAGCCAGGCAACCATGAGTCCCTTCCTGAGAGGGAGGAGGGGGGAGATGATGAAACTGGGAGCCAGGACAGGTGTTGGAGAGCCTCCAGAGACCGGATGATTGGTTCCAGACCCAACCTTGTCACTCTGCACTGGGTGGCTTTGAGCAAGTCCCAGTCTCACTCTGAGCCTCAGTCTCCTTAATCTAGAGCCCAAACCTCAGTTTCTTCACATGATCAGTAGGAATCATCACCCTTGTTCTGTTCACCTCCTTGTCATTGTGAAGGCATTTTATAACAGAGTCAGATGCAGAAGGGGCTGCCCTTGCTTTTGGTCAGTTTTCAGGGGAAATGTGGGAGGGATCCAGGCTGTAGCCTCCTCCTGGGGCTTAGGAGCTTCTCTGAGCCAGGGAGCCCTGCCTACGGCCATCCTTTCCTAACCTGACCTTGTGTTTTGCCTGCAGGTCTACAGAAGCTCTCAGCCCCTGCGTGTGGGGTACTACGAGACTGACAACTATACTATGCCCACCCCGGCCATGAGGCGGGCCCTGCTGGAGACCAAGAAGAGCCTTGAGGCTGCTGGCCACACGGTATGGCTGCAGGAGCCTGGGCACCTCTAGGGCAGTGCTCCTGGTACCCACTGCCATGACCTCCCTGGCATCTGGGCACCCTGATTGTTTTATGATTGGGAATAAGAACTGTGGTCCTGTAGGACCAGTATATAGAGGGATGATCAGGAGTATTGGCATGAGTAATTGAGGAGAATCAGCCTTGTGGTGGGTAATGTGTGAGCACTGTGTTTGGGGACCTCATCCATGAGCAGTGGTGCACAGCTGTCCAGAGTTCCTGGGGTCCTGAGATAGTGGGCCTGTGGGTTTTGGTCTAGTCATCTGAGACAATTTTGTATGTGGCTCCAGACTTCTCTCATGTTGTACATTTACAGGGAGTTTTTGTGGGTCACTAAGGCTGGCTTTGTGGCTATAATGAGAGCTACCATGTGGGCAGGGTTGGTTCAGTACATCCTCAGGGCTCCCAGGCAGCATGCGGTCATGGTACCCAAACATTGTCAGGTCTGGAGGCCTCATATCCCTCAATCCCTGCAGCTGGTCCCCTTCTTGCCAAGCAACATACCCTATGCCCTGGAGACCCTGGCGACAGGTGGGCTGTTCAGTGATGGTGGCCACAGCTTCCTACAGAACTTGTGAGTGATGTTGGGCTTTAGGTTTTGTGGTGGGATCAGAAAAATGGGAAGGTCCAAGGACAGCAGCTGGGTGCTGTGACCCTACAGCCTAGGACAGGCCTCAGCTAAACACAAAAAAGATCTGAGCACTCTGGGCAGGGACTTTGCTGTCCCTCCAGCTGTGCAGGTTGAGCCTGGAGATCCTTTGTCAGGGAAACACTGGAAAAGTCCTCGCCGAAGGACGGCTGGGTTGCGGATCAGTGGCCTACCCCTAATCTTGGCATGTTGTAAGGCAAGAGATGGGCAGGGGGTTGCCTGTCTCTCTGAGAAAGATTAGAAGCAAGGACAGGATCTAGTTGGATGGGTGGGGGTCTGGACAGCAAACTGTGATTCCAGGCTGTCTGTCTGATTTGAGCCAAGATTCTTTCTGAGCAGGACCTCAGTTTTCTCTTTTGTAAAGTAGACTAGATAGACTAGTCTCACTTTAAAGGACTTTGCAGAATTCATGTTTAGAGAAGCTGGTTCCTTTTGCCTATTTTCTGTCCTTGAAGGTTGGCAGGGACACAGACAGGACCATGAAGGTACCTCCTGGTCATGTCCCTGGGCTGGCCGGTCTAGTACCTCTCACAGTAGAAACCCACTTCCTCTGCCTCCCCTATGGGAGGTTGTTCCTGCATCCTTGCTGGGTCAAGGGCCCCACCTGTCATATCCTCTCCCACTCCAGCAGCTGATCATGGCCCAGGCTCCAGCAGAGGGGATCTCTCTCATTCTGGTCCTGGAGATGGTCCAGGATCCACTACCTGAGTCATTTCCCCTGAAATCTTGTGCCAGATAGCCTCAGAGATGTCCTTCATGGGAGGCATACCCTGGCTCACCCCAGTGTGCCTCCAGGCTGGCCTCAGTGCTGACTAGGAGATTCCCTTAATGAAGCTGGCCAGGGAGATGGCGCCCTCAGTACTTATGGCTCTGAGCTCTTTGGCTTGGATTTACCAGAGAGGGACGCTCTAAGTCCTGCCTTGCAGAACTCCAGTGAGTATGGGGTGGAGCCCAGGTGTCCTGAAGGATTAATCAGAAAAAAAATATGTTTGCAAGGAGACAGATGACAGATCAGAGACTGGGAGTAACTGAGTCTGAAGAGGAAGGAGGTGGGCAGGGTCACTGAGTGGAGAGCAGGGGCTGCAGTGGGTGGGGGTGAGCACACTGGGAGGGGCACCAGGACAGAGTGCCAGGATGGGGTGCCTGGACTGGCTTTTTTGTCTCCCAGCAAAGGTGATGTTGTAGACCCCTGCTTGGGGGACCTGATCTTATGTCTGAGGCTGCCCAAGTGGCTTAAAGGACTGCTGGCCTTCCTGCTGAAGCCTCTGGTGAGCTCACATGAGTGGAGGGGAGTGGGATGGGCTGGAGGGTGCCTGTGGAGGCCTCCTGTCCCTTGATGTCCTGTGCCCTCTGCATCAGCCTCTCCTGCTTTGGGCAGGCATGGCCTTTTCTCTCCAGCCCCACCCAGCTGCTCTCCTCCCACCACCCTGTGACCATCTGCCAACCTGCATGCCACAGGGGCAAAGGGATGCTGACCTGGGCCCTGGGGGAGGAGACCCTGGTGGCTTAGCCTGAAGAAGGTTGGCACAAGCCCCTGCCCAAAGCTGGGTTACTGACCATGTGTCTGTCCTCTGCAGCTCCCAAGGCTGGTGGCTTTCCTCAGCAACATGAAGCCTCGGTGAGGATATGTGCCCAGACATGTGGCCCTGCTTTTCTCCAACCTGGATCTGGGTCCAGGTGGTTTCTGACAGGAAAAGACTCAAGGGAGGTAGCCCTTGAGGCTGGAAATGGTCCAGGAGGGGGTGCAAACTCTGTGGCTTTCAGGGAGGACCTTGTTGTCTTAATAGAGTCCATGCCTGGCTGGAAAGGAAGGACCTGAGCGGGGTGACAGAACAGAGGAACTGAGGGGGAGAAGGTCGACCTGGCTGGGTCAGGCCAAAGGGACCAAGAAGGGGCTGGCCTGAGCTGGGGGAGGGGCCTGCTGGGCATTAGGGAACCCAGGAGAGATGTTGCTTTTAGAGATCTGAACCAAACTGGGCCATGCTGGGTCCTACCTACCCCTCAGTGGCTTGGGCTAGAAAATCAGGGTATGAATGGCCCAGTCTTAGGCCCTAGCATTCTGTGGACGTGCTTCTTCTCTCACTACATGGCTTTGGGGACTTTTGACAGCTCTGGCCCTCCTACCTTGTGAGGGTAGTGAGGAACCAGGTCTGGTCTAGTCCTGGCTGTGTTGGTGTATCAGTAAATGACCCATCTCAGGTCACTCTTGGGGCTTGATTTTCTCATCCAGACAGTGGGAGTTTAAACCTCTGCACTCTGAGCTCTCACAGGTTGAGGGGGTTCTGTGGAAGAGTGAGATATGGAGCATTAGGAGTAGGGGTCTGATGTTGCTGGTCCCAGACTTGTGACTGTCACAGCTGGTGACTTCACTCCTTCTGCTCAGGTCGGCTGGAAAGCTCTGGGAACTGCACCATGAGATTGAGGTGAGGCTGGAGCCCCCAGACTAGAGTAGGGTGGCAGGGCAGGATGGTGTCGGACAGGGTACCTGTCAGCTTATCTGTGGCCACTGTCCCCAGTGGCCTCCTGGAGTGGCCTGTCATCCCCCTCCTACTCTCTGCACTATCATATGGGCCCTGCTCTTACCCTCATTGGCCCAGATGCCCTCCTTGGGGGCTAGGATGGCCTGGCCTGGGCTGTGCAGTACGTGGCTCTGCCCTGGCAAGAATTGTGGCTACAGTTCATGTGGGAGCTGGGACAACTGATGCCCCCTGAGAAACAGCACTGCCTGCCCACCTGGAGACCTCTGTCCCATTGTGGCTCAGTATAGATCCAGGGGGGAAGAAGATACTGCAGCTCAGCCATCCCAGCCACCCCGGGTCTGAGTAACTCGCTGGTGTGGGGGTGTCTTCCCCAGGTGTACCGCAACACCGTGATTGCTCAGTGGAGAGAGTTAGACCTGGATGTGCTGCTGACTCCCATGCTAGGCCCTGCTCTAGACTTGAATGCCCCAGGCCAGGCCACAGGTGAGGACTGATGACCCATGCATGCTCCTTGCACCCCCACCTGTCCCTTCTGTGTCTTCAGCCCTGTGCTTAGCAGGGCATCCAGGAAATAGAAGAAGTGGAGCTCTAGGGAAGGTCCCCACCCTTGGGGGAGGTCCCTGTCCTGGGGCCCCCCGGCTAGCTGGAGAGATGGCTGATGGGGGAAGCCCTGGGAGGGAATGAACTCCTTGTCATCAGCACTGTTCAAGTTGGGAATCTTGAGTTGCAGATTCTGTAGTTGGGGGAGGTGGTATCTGAAGTTCAGATGGGATTTCAAGAAGCTGAGAAAATAGGGACAGGTGGGGGAAACTATATGGTCAAAGGCATGAGGCAACCATCAGTGGGATGTCCAGCCCAGCCCTGAGATCTGGATTCCTGGGCTTTGTCACTCAGCCCTCAGCCCTGGGAGAGAGCTTTCCCAGGCTGTCGGTGCAGGGTGCCATTTCACAGAAGGGTTGACTGAGGCCCAGGGAGGATAGTTGGCATTGAAGTTCCCAGGGTCTGTCACGTCACTTGCAGTATGTTCCAGGGGCTGTCAGCTACACTCTGCTCTACAACTGCTTGGACTTCCCTGCTGGGGTGGTGCCTGTCACCACCGTGACTGCCGAGGATGAGGCCCAGATGGAACATTACTCAGGCTACTTTGGGGATAACTGGGACAAAGCATTTCAGAAGGTGAGGCCTGACCTATTCCCCTCCCCTGCACTCACAACCCTTCCTGACTCTAGCTGCCACAGAGGACCATTACCAGCCCTTGCTATCCCCACTGGCTCGCTTAAAGCTAGACCTGAAAGGCTGTGGCCTGGCTCCGCTTTGTTGCCTCTCCTCTCCAGCTGGGGTGCTCCTGGGCCCCCTTCCTGACGCTGGTGTCCCCTGCAGGCTACAAGGAAGAGCGTGGGACTGCCCATGGCTGTGCAGTGCGTGGCTCTGCCCTGGCACGAAGAGTTGTGTCTGCGGTTTATGCGGGAGGTGGAACAATTAATGACCCCTGAGAAGCGGCCATCCTGACAACTCCGGCTACAGGGGACTGAGACCCTCAGGCTCTGCGGCCCAGCCTACTCACAGCACAGCTGCCACCAGTGAGGAAATGTTCAGCAAGACATGCAAATACTCTGAGTCTGGACCTCGCTCCCCTCTGGTCTCCTTTCCCTGCCCTGATTCCCACCCCTGTGTGGCAGCCAGTCAGTATGACATGGGCCAAGGCCTAACTAACAATTGAAACAGTTCTTCATCTGTGTACTTTCTGGGCATCATTGGTGGGGTGCTGGGGTCTGCAGCCTGTTGAAAACAGGGCTGGTCTGACCATTCAGAGCCAGGCTCCAGCCTTGCAGGTCTCCACCCGTCGGCCTCTCCTGGTGCCCACCACCCACAGAAAGGACGCAGGCTTGTGTCCCCCCAGTTCATCCTGCCCTCCTTTTTCACTTAGACTAAGCCTGGCTCTGCTGGACACTGTCCTTTGTCTTCTCCCTTCGCTCTTGCCCTCTGGCCAGATTGCCCTGTCTCCTCCTCTTCACTCTGTCCACTGAGTCCTGGCTAAGATTCTTCTTTCTCCAGGGGAGTTTTCCTCCTCCCTCTGACCCTACAGTGCGTGAGCTGTTTTCTCCCAGTCTGCCCTATGTGATGGGCATCTATCTGTAGGTGGGTCGGCCTCCCTTAGCACCCTGGTGCTCCTCGACTACAGGGACTCCATTGCTACACCTTTTTCCTACATGGCCACTACAGGGCCAGGTGTGGGGCAGCAGGGGAAGTCTGCTGGTGCTGAGCTGGTGGTTTTGGGGAGAGGAGCCCACAGGGCTGGGAGGCAAGCATGAGTCAAGGTGACCTGGCAGAGTCCTCATAGGGCTGTCAAGGCCTGGAATGCTCTGGAAGGCTTCCTGAAGGGGATGGACCTGTGTTGAGCCTAGAAGGTTCCCAGAGGCTGAGAACATCCCTGGAAGAAGGAATAGTATTCCCAAAGACAGGTAAGTTTGGTAATTGGCAGGCTTGTCTAATGGGCACTGGAGAAGCAGAGTAGGTGAGGCCAGGTCAAGGTAGATGGACATGGGCATCTAGGTCAGGAACTTGAATTCTGTCTTAGGGACAATGGAAGCTCTTGAAAGATCATAGTTCAGCAAGGAAAGTGGACTGGAGGAGCAAGACTAGGAGAAGGCGGAAGCTGCTCTGTGATCCCTAATTTGGGGAAAGGGACCTAAGGCCTGAGCCATGGCCCAGGGGTGGAGAGGGGCCCCCTGGTAGTTGATAGTTGGATGGAGGCCAGCATCTCAACTCAGTCTCACCCCTGCCCAATAGGTCAACTCCCCTTTTATTAGCCTGCTCACCTGGTGGGTGGAAGGGCAGCTAATCTGTAGCAGTCTCCAGGACTTTCTTGACCCCACTAGCAGAGTTCCCTTGCTCTTCCCTGGCGCCAGCCCTAACTTTCTTCATGGCTGGAGAAAAACTTTTACAGCCTGAGAACTCTAGACAGGGCTGGTCCCTAGCTCATTGGCCTATTTCAAATTCTTTTCAGGGCAAGTGATTTTCCTAAGGCTTTCTTCTCCACCCTGATTTTCCTACTCCACCAGAAGAGCTTTTCCCATCAAGTTACCAAGCCCAGTGGCACCTGTACTCCCTATCTGTGCCTTCGTTGCCTCACTGGGGTGGGGCAGATGTGAGGCCCCACACTTGGGACTGACTCCAGGGCCTAGCCCACATGGGGGCAGCTTGATTGGGACAACCAGGCAGATGCTGTACTTGTGTAACAGCTACTGTAATTTAGCCTCTTACTGTTTCATAAAACAACCTGTCATCTGCCCTAGCATCCTCCTTCTCCTGCCCCATTTTTCTCTTTCTATTAACTGATAACCTGTGCTTTGAGATACGAGTCTGTAGAGTGGAGGTCCCACTCTTTCAGTTCTTCACTGGTTCACTGAGTCAGCCCTTAGAGCCTCAGCTTGGACATGTCCAACCCTCTGCTGAATGGCTGGGGACTGACTGGAGCCAGGCCTGGCTCCCATCCTTGAGAAGCCCCTGGGCTTTCGGAGGAGGTGGACATTGACACAATCACATCTGCTCTCCTGGCCATCAGGGCTGGTGGAAATGACAGACAAGGGCAAATGCTGCCAAAAGGTGGGGGAGTGGTCACTAAGGCAGGTTGAGTGCTATTGAGTTTCATCTCCACCTTTGTGCTGTAGGCCAATTGTCTGCCTCTCATCTAGACACTGACCCTGCAGCAACTTCCTTAATAGACCCCCTGCTTCCATCCCAAGCCACTCTCCGTACAGTAGCCAGAGTGATCCTTTAAAAGTGTACCCCAGATAGTGTCACTTCTCTGCTCAAGACCATCCCATGGCTTCCTGTCCTGCCTAGAATAAAATCCAGTCTCCTGTGTCTTCCAAGGCTGCATGTGATATGGTGCCTGCCCATACACCATCTTCATCTTAGGTATCTCTTCCTCTTGTTCATGTGGGTACCTTTTGGTGTCTTTCTTTTTTTTTGGAGACAGTCTCACTATGTTGCCCTTGGAAGAGTGCTATGGGCACTCACAGCAACCTCAAACTCTTGGGCTTAAGCAATTCTCTTTCCTCAGCCTCCCAAGTATCTGGGACTACAGGCACCTGCCACAACGCCCATCTATGTTTTTGTTGTTATTGTTGTCATTTAGCAGACCTGGGCTGGGTTTGAAACCACCAGCCCTAATGCATGTGGCCGGCACCCTAACCACTGAGCTACGGGCGCCAAGCCAACTGTTTTGTTTCTGAACAGTATAATTCATATAGGAAAGCCAGAGTAAATGCTTGATTCATTCTTTTTCCACCAGTTTTAAAGATAATGAATTAAATCCCTATCATCTTCCAAAGCTGACCACTTAAAAATATTATGAATTGGCTCGGCGCCTGTGGCTCAAGCGGCTAAGGTGCCAGCCACATACACCTAAGGTGGCGGGTTCGAATCCCCAGCCCGGGCCCGCCAAACAACAATGACGGCTGCAACCAAAAAATGGCCAGGCGTTGTGGCGGGCGCCTGTGGTCCCAGCTACTTGGGAGGCTGAGGCAGGAGACTTGCTTAAGCCCAGGAGTTGGAGGTTGCAGTGAGTGTGATGCCATGGCACTCTACCCAGGAGGATAGCTTGAGGCTCCGTCTCAAAAAAAAAAAAAAATTATGAATTTATGGGTTTAGATACATTTTTTTTTTTGATACAGAGTCTCACTTTGTCACCTTTGGTAGTGTGCCATGGCATCACACAGCTCACAGCAACCTCAAACTCTTCCTGAAAATGTAAACTTCTGAAAGCCATACTTTGTGTTGTTCATCACTATATTCCTGACGTGGAGAATGGTGCTCAGTTAATTCCATGAGCACGAAGCTGGCATCTTCCGGGGTTAGGCACCATGCTGGGTGCTGTGTGTTGCACTGATGAATGAAGCAGACTTGGTCCCTATCTCAGTGACGCTCACATTCTGGAGGGATTTGTGGGACTCAGGGAAGGAGGCCCTAATTATTTAGTGTGTGGAGTGATAAGGTGACTTTCGGGTAAGAGAGGGACAGGCATTCTGAACCACATTTACTGAGTGCCTCCTAAAAGCCATTTACCTCCTGGGTACTTTGTAGTTATCATGTCATTTAATCCTATTAAATTAAAAAAAATTGCCCCCATTTTACAGAAAGGTTACTTTTTTTTTTTTTTTGAGACAGAGTCTCATCTGTCATCCTGTGTACAGTGCTATAGCATCATAGCTCACAGCAACCTCAAACTGGGTTCAAGTGGTCCCCTTGCCTCAGCCTTCCAAGTAGCTGGGACTACAGGTGCCCGCCACAATGCCTTGCTAGTTTTTCTATTTTAGGTATAGATGGAGTCTTGTTCTTGCTGAGACTGGTCTTGAACTCCTGAACTCAAGGGATCCTCCCACCCCTGACTTCCCAGAGTGCTAGAATTATATGCGTGAGCCACCAGGCCCAGCCTGAGAAGGGCTACTTTTATTTAAAAAAATTCTTTTTTAGAGACAAGGCCTCACTCTGTCATCTGAACTGATCTAAGCCTCCCCAAAGTGCTGGGATTATACTCCACCTGGCCTGGAAAGGTTACATACTTTGCCTAAAGTTGTACATCTAGAATTAGAGTTGAATTCTGCCCAGTCTATGTCAGTGGCCACATGAGCTCTTTCTATTGTCCCATAATACTAGGGCACCGTAAGCACAATGGCCAGAGCGTGAGAGCTTAAGTCATCCTCTTCTTCCCTTCCTGATCCCCTGGCCTCCAGACCTGCTAAGCCAAATGGCTACTTCCTATCTTTATAGCCTTCCCTTTCTCACCACACCCATTGCCACAGCTCCTTACTTGGCTTCCTTGGCCTCTAGACTGGTCGTCTCCGATTACCTATCCTTCATATGGCAGTTAGGCTTTCTAAATGCAAATCTGGTAACACCTAAAATCTTTAGAATCACTTGTACCAAGTACAGACTCCTTGCTAGGACCTACAAGGCTATTCTTGCTTGCCTCTGTTGGGCACTCTGACCTCATCTCCCCTTCCTGAGTGCCCACACCCTGGCTGCTTGGCCTGCAGGTAGTGCTCAGAGTACTGTGCTGCAAGTATCTCCACTTCCGTGCCATGAGTATCCCCGCCTCCACCCCTTTTGCTCATGGTGCCTGCTGTTCTGGAACATTCCTCCTCAGGTCTCCACCTAAAAACCACCTACTAATCCTCTTACAACTTTGTCAGCCTTTTCTTTTCTTTTTTTTTTTTTTTGAGACAGGGCCTCAAGCTATCTAACCTGTGCTTAGCTTGGACATGTCCAACCCTCTGCTGAA